TATAGTGACATAACATGTCGCATAAAACAATCAAGTAACTTTAGTTAAACTTACTGAATTAAAAGCAATTAAATAACATCGTGACAATATATATTTAAAATATTTATTAAGATTTTCAACCGTGATTTGAACGTTCATTGATACACGCCACTATAGTGACATAACATGTCGCATAAAACAATTAAGTAACTTTAGTAAAGCTTACTGAATTAAAACCAATAAAATAACATCGTGGAAATGTATATTTAAAATATTTATTAAGATTTTCAACTGTGATTTGAACGAGAATTCATTTGCTTCCAGGTGAATCAGGTAGTCATGTATTCGGTAGCATCACCGATGGTGTCTTTCATGGGAAGATAGTGTCGTCACGTGCTGGTGCATGGTACGTGGAAAGAGCACACTATTATTTTCCACCGCACGAGATAAACGAGACCTTGCATTCCGTGATCTATCACGAAAATGACGTTGGTGATCCGTACGCTGATGTACGACAAGGTAAACCCTGTTCTTATATACATATATATATATATCACATATTTACCCTTTTTTTCTTGTGACAGAGTTTCATCAATTTTAAATTTAAATACTACATTGTAAATTGTTTTTTCTACTTTGTTCTTTTTTTAAAATTTGTCACAACCCTCGGATGTACATGTATTTTCTTATATATATATCACATATTTACTCATGTTTTTTTTTTACTGAGTTTCATCAATTTCAAATTTAAATACTACATTATTAATTGTTTTTTCTACTTTGTTCTTTATAAAAATTTGTCACAACCCTCGGATGTACATGTATTTTCTTATATATATATATATATCACATATTTACTTATGTTTTTTTTTTTTACTGAGTTTCATCAATTTCAAATTTAAATACTACATTGTTAATTGTTTTTTCTACTTTGTTCTTTTTTAAAAATTTGTCACAACCCTCGGATGTACATGTATTTTCTTCTATACATATATATATCACATATTTACTTATGTTATTTTTTTTACTGAGTTTCATCAATTTCAAATTTAAATACTACATTGTAAATGGTTTTTCTACTTTGTTCATGAATTTCAATTTAAATACTACATTGTAAGTTATTTTTTCTTCTTTGTTCTTTTTAAAAATTTGTCACAACCCTCGGATGTACATGTATTTTCTTATATACATATATATATATATCACATGTTTTCTTATGTTTTTTATTTTACCGAGTTTCATCAATTTCAAATTTAAATACTACATTGTAAATTATTTTTTCTACTTTGTTGTTTTTCCTTTGAAAAATTTGTCACAACCCTCGGATGTACGCATCCGATCCGAAATATTTCATTTATTATTTCCCCTTTTCTTACTTCTTTTTCTTTTTACAATAAACGATCTATTATTTAAAATCAATTTAAAAAAAAGTAATATAGTAAGTTTTATAAAAGAACTGAGATAATAATAATAATATATAAAGATTTGGTTACATGAACTTGGTAACATTTAGGTAATAGTTCGTGGGGTTACTTGTAATATTCCGAACGTGTGTTCGGTTAGCTTTAAAACTCAAGCATGAACCTCCTGTATGGGGATTTGTGTGGGTGTGTGTCGGTCGATTGTTGTTAACGATCTTCTTCTCGGAACCAAGAGGGAAAATAGAAGAGAAAAAAAAGATAAAGAGAGAGAGACAGAGAGAGTGAGGAGGAAGAGGAGGAAAGGGTCATGCCGCTTACACTTGGTCGAGCACCCCTTTGTCGTCAAGGATGTCCACTCGCTTGTGCGCACGCGCACACGCTCACTAAGCTTGTAATCTTTTCTTCTTCTTTTTTTTTCTTTTTTTTTTTTTCTTATTCCTCTCTTTTTCTTCTTCTTCCTCGAAGTTTTCTTCCACCAACACGACGAGGGTGTTGTATGAGGAACAACCCCACCCACCATCCCCCGTAAAAAGGTTTCAACTATAAAAGGAAAATAAGAAAATAAAGATCTAAAATACGAAGAAGGGGTTGATAGGGAAAGATGACTTCGAAATAGATGAATACTGATAGCCCTCCTACAACACGATCCATAAATTGCTGGGAACCACCCTATAACACGACATCCTATAACACTGTTTTCCCTTTCAAAAAACCTTTGTACTTCTACAGCTGCAGCAAAGCTTGCTGTCTTAAAGATACAGTATTGCGGAAAGTATTTCTTTTCATTTCCATGGGCTGAAAACTAAAATATTTGGCTCATGACTCTGGGTCTCACACAACACTGTTTCACATAACACTAGACTGCATTTTCTAGGAACCTATCTACCATATTATAGAAGGGTTACCTGTTATTTCGACTAAACAAAAAAAATCGCAGTTTTTCAATATTAAAAAAAAATAATAATAATAATAATAACAAAAACGACAAGAAAGATTTAAACGTGTGTCGTGTACGTTCCCCTGTCGAATAAAATTCTCTGAACGTTTACGCGTTTATTTAATATATATATATATATAAATGTGTGTATATGTATGTATACACGTGCAACGAGAGAATGTCCACGCTATTTGAACTGGATCTGTTAAAAAATGCATACACACGGAACGACTGGTAACGAGTCCTGACTAGCTGGTTGGTTGGCTCCATAGCTAGGCAAAGCGAAATCATACAGTTTGCATAAAAGCTTCACATATCGAAAAGTCCATGGGTAGGGTGGACTGGGATAGAAGTTAGGATTGGGTAGGGGTTAAGGGGGATGTTCGAATTCGCCACGCGCTATTTGCGTTATCGCACTGAGTTTCTTCTTCGATAGCTACTGCTGCTGCTGCTGCTGCTGCTACATGGAATATCGCAATAGAAAGAGAAATAGAAAGAGAGAGAGAGAGAGAGAAAATATTATCCGTACAGAATTTCGAATATTTACGTATGTGTTTGTGAGTGTGTATGTGTGTGTATATGTTTAAGCTGAAATGTCCAAAATGGCTTTTAAGAGAGACCACCCCCTGCCCACTCTCAGTACCCACCTCAACCTCTTTTTGCAATATGTATTCGTAAGCTTTACTCCTTTTGATGTCTTCTTTGATGTCTTTCATAAAAGAAAATACTTAATACTCGTATTACATATATATATGTATATGTATATATGTGCATATATATATATAATTTACAACGATTCGTATAAATAATTTCAAATGTTCTATTTATTCACAATTTTCCATTTTCTCTAATAATAACCCTTTTAATTGAAATTTTCCTAAAAAGAATGATTGTTTAAAAGGTTCTCTATTTTAAAAATAAAAAGATAGACCGGAAGGTAATGTCACATTTCAAATCTTACATTCAAAAACGAAAATACATTTTTAACAAAAGTTGTTTTATTTTTAATCAACAATTTAATTAATAATCCACCCTCGTTTTATTTTTTTCTTTTTCTTTTATTTTATCTATCATTAAAATTAATGTAGATTATTGTAATTATTCTTGGTGCCGGTTTTATTCGACATTTATAAGTAAAAGTAATTTTCAAAGAAATATTACAAACAGAAGAAAAACCTGTAATATTTAAATGATTCACACGTGTTCTAATCCGAATGGTAGTATATTTCTGAATATGTATATATGTATACATATGTATGTATGTATGTATGTATGTATGTATGTATGTATGTATGTATGTATGTATGTATGTATGTATGTATGTAGAGATTTCATAAAAATCGATGAACTAGAAGAGAATGTGTTAGTATGGAAAGAAGAGAAAACTTGTGCAAAATTTTAATCGAAACGCGGTTTTTCCAACCCCTATCTAAATTTCCTTTAGTCTATATATATGAATACATCTATATATATTTGCATATATATATATGTATGTGTGTGTGTATGTATATGTGTAAATCTACGTCACGTTTTATTCACGTGTGTGTATTTGTACTGGTCGTGCAAATAACCAACGCTTAAATAAACGGGTAGCATATCGCGTGTAATATTTATCATGGCTTTCTCCTCTCTCTCTTTCTCTCTTTCTCTCTCTCTCTCTCTCTCTCTCATCTGTTGTAATAATAGCAAGAGAACGAACAGGTGTTTGCTGTACAAGATATGTGTGCCGTTATGACAATATGTAGTAGTATGCCGCTCGAAGAAAATTCACACATTCCGCTAGGAATCTTGTTTAAAACGTTAACACACAAATTTTCGATTAGTATGCTAAAAAAAAGTCAGTTTACTTTTTGTTTTTTTTTTGATAGTGGTGGTAGAAAGAAAAAAAAAAAATATGTTTAAGTACCTACGTACGGGTACACACATGTATTAATATTATTATTTAATTTTTTAGGCATCGTTAAATGTTGAATGAATGAAATATTCATTGAAAATGAAAGATTCATTGAATAAATGTTGAA